CAACCAACTTTTGCGAGGGGCGAAATAGTATCTGGAATAGAAATTTCAGAGTCATTCCCCAAATTTGTGGCTAGCTCTCCGGTTTTTGAATCAACAAGAAAAAATAGTGGAAAATAAATCGGAACTTATGAGAAGGGGAAAGCCTGCTTCACAACAGACCAGAACATGGAGAAGATTTCATATAGCCAAGATTGATTATTAAAATTTGTAAATGATATATAATTTAGGTAAAAAACAATTATTTTTAAATTTTGGTACAAATTGGAATGATTTTTTATTTTGGTACAAGGGGTACTGATTTTTTTAATTTGGTACTAATGGGAATTGTTTTTTATTTTGGTACGAACGCGGTTGTTTTCGCTTTTTGGTACTGCTGAATACCCACCCTAATCTTGGTTTAATAAATAAGAATTTAAATTAAACAAACAGCAAATCTGGAACACTTTCTGGTCGATATTTTCGAAACTCATAATTTAGACAGAAACCAGGTTGTTAAGATTTTTATTAGCTTCAGTTTTTAATTGAGCTGCCTGACCGATCATATTTCGCTTGAATTGAATGGTTTATTTTAGTCAATCATATCAAAGCACATCATTTGAAAATGTAAAAACACTGATTTTGGGTCATTTAGCGCATAAAATCCTGCTTTTTTTCAAGCCTTTTTCTGAATCAAGTTGGGTCGGGATTGAACCTGGAATCAACGTGTTCCCAACGTGTTCGATTAATACTTGGAAGACTATCTGACTATCTATGATGCTGAAAGGGTTACACGAAATTTTCGTGTTTGTACAAAACAGTCCCATACAAAACCGTCCCATACAAAACAGTACAATACAAAACAGTCCGGAAAAAATGAAAATGAACGAAAAAACAGTCCAATACAAAACAGTCCGAAAAACAGTCTAAAGTAATAATTGTTTTAACAAGCCGGTAGGCCGAGAACTGTTCTTTGTTCGACAAACAAACAACAAAATAGTGACCGCTGCAGTGGCGCCAACGTGATGCGAGCTTGCCAATAGAGGGTAGGACTTGATAGGAAAATTAAAGCCGGTTATCGCCGCGAAGCTTTGTGATCGCCACCGGCCCGGAAAAAAATGTTTTTCAACAGTACCAAAACTATTTTAAATGTGCTGTTTTTACTCGGGGACTGGCCTTTTAGCATGTGTGTCTATTAGCATGCCCATGTAAAAAAAAAACAGTTGAGTCGCTGGCTTTTCAAGATGTGTTTACTGAAGTTTGTTTACTCAAATAGCGTGAAGTAAATAGTTAGGCAAAAATGGAACGGCAAGTTCTAACAAATCAAGTGATTTTTATTATTAACGACTAAATAAAGCAAATAGAACATGCTAATCGGCACACACCCTTTTACTCATCCTTTATCACTGACAAGTAAATTAGTTAAAATTCACGGAAAATTAAACGACAGAATTGGCTATTTTAAATGATGCCGCTTGTCAAACAAACAAAAGTTACCAAGAGCGGCGTCCTAAATTTTTAACAATTTAATGATGTGCGGCCAAAAAGTAGACAACTTTTATTTCATACCGGTCATAATTTAGACAAATTTAATTCTTAATTCTGATTGGCCAAAAGAATTAACGCGGACAGAAAATGAAAGCGTTCAACAGTGCCGAAGTAGATCAGTGCCGAAAACAGTGTTTAACAGTGCTAAAAAACTTATGGTCTTAAAAAGTTTTCAGCAGTGCCGAAAACTTATGGTCTTAGGCACTGTTGAACAATAACTTAATTTTTGGCATCTTGTATTTCGGCATTGTTGAACGCCCCTCTAAGGGCATTACAACAACGCCGAAGTACAACAGTGCCGAAAATGTATTTATTATTCAACAGTGCCGAAAATCATCCATTTTCGGCACTGTTGAACATTTTCTCATTTTCGTCACTATTTTACTTCGGCACTGTTGCACTGCCACCAGAAAATATTATCGATAAATAATGGAATTTACGTTTTGTAAAAGCCCCCAGAAATGGCAAAAAATTTTTTTGAGGGTTATTTTTTCAAGAAAAATCGGAAAAGAGAAAATATCTAATAGTACAAGGTATAACCGAAACTTGTCCGTCCCAATTAACTCTCGATTTTCCAAATCAAAATTTTATCAGTAAGCCAGTAACTCATCCCCATCAGCCGCTTCACGATCGGGTCTCAGAGCAAAAATTAAACAAACCCCTCTGAAAACAATTAAGTGCAAGAATCAGGTGAAAGAATTTTAGCACCCGCATACACTCAATTACGAAGAACAATGAACCAAAGCCGAGAAAAAAAATTTCCCCCGTACCCTTAAACTTTGACGAAATTGATTTAATCGATGCATGGAAAAACACCTTGAACAAAAAGATTTTTCTTGAAATGTTAATCTTTGCAACTATCCAAGGACTCGCATTTCTGGTAAGATTTTGGGAGGTAAAACATTCAAAACTACCCCCGACCATTTTTACAAAATTATACGATTTTTAGAACCAGTGAAAATTTTTAGGTACCTGTTGTCTGGGTGTTTCTCATCCGAAAAAAATGAAGAAACTTAACAAAACTTTAGTTTTTGAAATATTGACCTGAAAATGCCATTTCTTTGTAATTGGCATTTGATACCCGATTTTTCTTTGACAAATTTTGAAACAGGGATCATTCCGGCAATCAAGACAGTATTTTACGTGACGACAGATGTAGAATATTGGTTTAACTACACCCAGTGTTTTTCTGAAAATTTCAGGAACTCGCTTTTTTCGCGAGAATACAAAAATAACCAGACCCTGAATTGAATAGCCTGTCGACTATTCAACCTGTCTCTCCTGCCCGCTGCTGAGCTGATTGCAAGTTCCAAAATTATCAGTTTTAATTATCAGATACTTTTTCTCGACGCCAAAATCTAAAACAACCAATAATGCAAAAAATGGAACATGAGATGGAACAAAGTGGGTGCTGTTCAGCCAAGTTTTTGGAAAATGTTTTAAAAAATGAACGCCCTAGAAGTCGAATCACGAATGCAACTGCGAAAAAAATCTATAGGTGACACGGCTCAATTAATTCAGCAAATTGTCAATTTTCACTAATTTTTGCTCCAAATCAAAGTAGTATTCACGGGGGCATTTAACAGTGAGCTTTCCATTATTTTCTTTTCCCAAAAACTGTTCGATATGAATTGAAGGACAGTCGGAACATTCAGGGCTTCTAGTTGTAACGACTTTCGATTCGAAAGTAAGGGAATATTTGTGCTCGGGGTGGGGTTTTTTTTCTTCAGACAATTTTCGACTTTTTAACAAGCCAATTTTGCCGTAATTTTTTATGTCGTTCGAAAAGTATTGTTGTCCTGAGCTCAAATTTGAAAAAATATTTTACCTGTGATCATTTTCGTAAAGATATGGGGGTTTAAAAATTGCAAATTTGGGATAATTAACGCGCAATACATTTCGCGCTATTAACGCGCAAGCGGAGAGTTAATCCGTCTTAGAAATCGTTCCAAATTGGTTGAAAAAAGCTTATTTGCCATAATTGATTTGTTACAAGGAGCGAAATCTATCCTTTTGTGCTTTATATGGTGTGTGGGGTGATGATTTTCATAAAAAATTTCAAATTTTAGAAAAAAAATTCTATTTTGTTTTATTACATTAAATTTTTACTGCCCCATAAACCTTAAAGGCAGTCGGAACATTTAGGGATTCGCCCTGATACGAGCAGTCTTGTTAGCATAAAAAATCACTCCAATTTTGGCGCCAGAATGTCTGCAACTGCAAATTAGACAAGACTGCTCGTATCAGGGCAAAGCCCTGAATGTTCCGACTGCCTTTTAAGGTCTATGGAGCAGTAATAACATGAAAAATTTAAATGTATAAAAGATAATTTTTTTTTTATTTTGAGATTTTTTGCGAAAACACCCCCTCAACCCCCCCCCCCGCACACGCCATATTAAGTACAAAGTGATTGATTTTGCGCCTATTAACATATCAATTATGGTATATAGGCTTCTTTGAACCAATTTGGAACAATTTTTAAGACGGATTAAATCTCTGCTTACGCGTTAATAGCGCGAAACATTTCACGCGTTAATTGTCTCAATTTGGCCAAAATGACAAAAATGGAAAATTCTAAACCCCATAACTTTTTGAAAAATGATCAAAGGTGAAATATTGTTTCAAATAAGCTCAAAGCAACAATAGCTTTCGAATGATATTTAAAAATTCCGTCAAAAATGGTTAGTTAAAAAGTCGAAATTTGTCGAAAAAACCCACCCCGAGCACAAATATTCCGTTACTTTGGTATCGAAAGTCGGAAACAACATTTAATTGGGCGCCAAAACGTCTAAGTTGCAAAATTTTTCGCTCAAAATCTTAAAGTGTCACTTAAGATTGTAAACGATCGCCGTTTAATTTTTGAGTGCCGCACTTAATATGTTGAAATTTGTTGAAATTTTCGGCACTGTTGAACAAAGTTTTCATTTTCGGCACTGTTGAACTAATTTATTTTACTGTTGAACTATTTTCCTCCTTTCCACCCTCACACCTGCAAATTTTTATATTTGAAGTTACTGATCACTTTGTCCGATTGTCGTGAAAGTTGACATGCAGACTAATTAGGCCATAACAAGCATATTTGGTCTTCATTATTAACCTTGTAAAACTACTCGTTAGTCATAAAATTCATGTTTGAGTGAGGCTGGGGGGGGGGGGGGAGGCAAAAGAGCCAAAAGCTTTGCTAGTGCTCACAAAACTAATTTGGGATCTACTTAACAATCTCCACCCCTTTCAAGAAAGGGGGGAGATAGTTAAGTAGATCAAAATGATCACTTTTTCGACCAATCAGAATGCAGCAAAATTAGACTTCTCAATAGAAAGCTCAGTGCTATTTATTTAAAGGGGTGGAGATTCTAAGTAGGTACCATAGGGGGGAGATTGTTAAGTAGATCCCTAATTTGGTCAACCTTAAAAAATGGTCTCAAAATTTTCTCAAGTTTTTTTGCTATCCCCCCATGCTGCTAGTTCTTTCTCACCTTCCGAGGGAGTCGAAGAGTATCCTTCCAGTGATGATTTCTCCATACGGCAGGAACATACGACAGAACTGGTGCACAGAGTATGTTCTGGGGAAGCCACTCACATACAGATTCGCATCCTTGATCTGGGGTGAACTGGGCCGAGCTATCGACACCTATATGAGTGAACACCTGTGATCAAACCGAATTTTCATTCCTTCATTCCATGATAAATTTTCATTTGAAACAATTTAGGACCGTTTAAAGATTCAGTTCCCAAATTATAAAGCATGTAATTCCCCCCCCCCTTTTGGACCTTGTTAACCTTGTTAACCCCCGCTATACATGTATTATTTTTGACAACCATTTCTGTATAAAATATGTATTTCAAAAATGTCAACAATTAAGTGGGTTTTCATTTTCGCGCGTTCGTATTTGTATTACTCACTATTTATAAAATACCAACGTAAAAAATTTTAATTATATATATTTTCTGAAAATAGTTTTAAAAGCTATTGAAAATGTGGCCGCCAAAATTGAATTTTTGAACATCGAAATAGGGGGGGCGGGGGGAATAGTTAATAAGATCCGAGCATTCGGTTGCAGGGCAAGGGTCAGCCGAAACTTTTGAAAGCCGAAATATTTGCCCATGGATCGCCGAAAGGAAAGTTTTACATAAAGAGCACAATTTGTTTGTCTTTCCAAAATTCGGTCCAACGAAGGTAACTTCAAAAATTAAGTATGTTATGATGTGACCATTCTTTTAACTTCCTAGTGGTTCCAACATCGAACAACTAATTAGCCGAATTATTTAATTAATTAATTAACTAACCTTGAGTTTTTTTGGTCCAACGAATTGACCGTTGAAGAATTCCACAGCCTTTCTCGCGTCTTCCGCCGATTTGAACTTGACGAACCCGTAGCAAAGTGACTGGCCAGTTATTTTATCCTGCACCACTTTGGAATTTTCCACTGGCCCCACTTGAGAGAAAAGTAGTCGCAATTCCTCTTGAGTCATGGTTGCCGGCACATAATTTATTATGAGGTTCGACTCGTCATAGTCAACCGAACTGCTTGTTGACTTCGAGGGCGAAACTTCGGGCCCGATTTGCTGAGACTTCGGCGTCGTGTTTGTATTATCGCCCTCCTTATGAAAATTCCCAGAGTTTTGCTTCGCCGGGGTTGAAAATTGGGAAGAACTCGATTTCGGTGATCTTTGATCATCTGCCATTTTTGAATTCGTTTAAGGGTTTTAGAGCAAAGTTAGCGTGTTTATATTTGCATTAAGTCGGGGCAATTTGGACTGAGAAAATGCACTTTTCACGTCAATAACAATAACTGCGGTCAATTATAACATCGACTGGCGCAGCAAAAACAAACCTTTTTCGACAGTTAAATTTTGTAAACTGGTGGTTCGCAAATTGAAATTTGAGGTTGCGAAGGTTTTAAACATGGGCGCGAAAAGAGCAACAGGACTAAATTGAGAAAGACTCAAATTTTGATCGCTGCTGCAAATTGAATTGGAAAGCCAATGAAATAAATGAGAAACTCTTGCGTATTGTCTTTGTCGTCTCTCAAGTTATTTCGTAGTGTTTCGTGGCTTCTTAATTAATTTAGAATAAAAAACTTCTAAAAACTAATTGAATCTTATTTGTAAAAATTTACAAGGAAATTTCAATTAGTTTTTAGAGGCTTTTGTAAAATTAGGATATTTAAACTGTTGTTTTTCTTTGATTTGTTTTCAGATTTACTGCTTGAGATCGATCTTAAGTGGATCAAAGCGGCAGAATTTTAAAATTTCAAAGACCAGAATTTGAAAGATCAATATTTTCTGACCAGTGTGGCGTGTTCAGGAACAAGAGAGGGAATGGGGATCGATTTCGATTACGGAGGTGGATTGGCTTTGGGGCCCGAAATTTGGTTCAACGCCTGTTTTGAGAAAAAATGCGCGAGCTTATTAACTACCCCCTCCCGCTAATGGTACCTTGCAAAACCTTGAAGCAACCCCCCCCCCCCCCCCCGCCCCACATTGGGAAAGAATTGAACAGTTAGGCTTAGGCATATACGAATTTAGGATCTACTAAACAATCCATTTCAAGCAGAAAAAATTATTAGCCGAAACAATAAAAAAAATTGAACTTTTGTTTTGTCAAGCCATTTTTTAAAAGTTTTTCTTGTCTGGGCTAAGTTTCACAAGTAACTCAAAATTAATTTGATTATTTTACAAAGTTCCGTCTTTTCGGAAGTTTTGGCTAATATTTTTATCTGCTGGATCGGAATGCCTGACCGTCTAACTTGAATTTGATTGGCTAAAATTACCCAATCAAATTCGATCGCATAATTTCGAGCTTACGATGTAGAAAAATTAATTTTGGGCCGTTTAGTGCATAAGACCCAAAATAATATATATTTTATACAGAAATGCTTGTGAGGGGAATTTACGATAGGGGGGGGGGGAGGGGGGTAGAATTGTACGGTTGATCTCTAACGTCAAAGAAATTTCCAATTTAAACAAGCTATTGATGTAATTCAGATTTCAACTGTAAGTATCTTAGGCGCGGAGATGGATCAATGGTACGGTGGTTGATCCTCAATTCAGCCTCCCAGTTTACAAAATAATTGTTGTTAGTTATGTTATTATGGATGATTCAAAGTCTTCACAAAGGAAAAGCTTGACTCAGAACAAAACATCCGAACTTTCCTAATACTCCAAATTGTCAATCATCTAGCTTTTTTCGGCGCTGAGGGGAACAAAACAAACATATCAGCAAGAAAGACTGGGTCGAGAGAGACAAAACAAAAACAAAGGCGGGGATTAGTTTGAGCTTTACATTCCTTAGCAAGCGAGTCAAATTTGACCAATCAGAATTGTTCACGCCTAAATCGCTTTTTTGAAGGAAATACATTCAGTTGATCAACGTTACAAACGGCCGAACAAAAACATACATTCTGCAATCTTCGTTCAGGAAGGATCAATTGTTTCGAGTTTGTTATTGGCTGAGATTTGTTTAGTCTTTTTTTTGAAGTTAAAAAAGCTATAAAAGAAGCCAATACTTCGAAATAATGGTTATAGAGGATTTTCGCAACAATTTTCGAGCAAAAGTTTTAGCTTGAACTCCTTCTGCTTGAAAAACTGTCTGCCCAATGTCCAGTCCAAAACCTTTTTGTCACCTCATCTGCCATAAGGAAAATTGACGAGTCGTACTATCAGGTGATTGGCAAATTAGACGGCAACCGTTAAGGCGACAACCGTTTTTGATGGGACGTTAGGACAACGCCACATGCAGTTGTTTACATAGAATTTCTAAGAAATTTGAACCCCTTAAACTTGAATTGCTCATTTTACATGTATAAAAGGTTATTTAACGTCTTAATGTCTTGTCACCTTAATATCATGTCGTGTTATATACCTACGTACCATATAATAATTCAGAGGCGGATTGAGGGGGAGAGGTATTCTTAATTATTCCGCCCAAAAATCAATACTTCAACACCTTGAACTGAACTATATGGTACCTTGAACTATGCTAACTTGAAACGAACCCCCATTTGAGAAAGAATTAAACAGTTAAGTATATACAGTTTGGACCAACCGTTTTATTTGTTCCCCAGCACGATTTAGGGGGGGGGACAAAATACCTGTTTTTCAGAAATTGACTTCAAGGATAAAATCAATTCGAGGACATTCTATTGTAGGTTACTTCGGGGGGGGGGGGTACATAGTACTGTAAGCACCAGCGGATTTCGAGGGGGGGGGGGGGGGGGCGTGCGGACGCCCCTTCTTCAGGAATTCAACTCCCTGCTGACCCAAAAGGTCCCCCGTTTGTACTATTTTAAGATATTCATTTTTTGGCAGACTGACCCTAAAATTGTTCGAAAGGCGCGTTAGGCGCCAAAATTTACTAATTTTGAGGAGGATCGCGCGCCAAAAAAGCGCAATTTTCTAGTCCACATTTTCCAAAAATTTCCCAAAAACGTCTTGTTTGGCCTGTTTTTTTTCTCCAAAATTTGCCAGCGGTGCAGAAAACTTAATCGAAATGGGTCTTCTTAATGATTTGGGAGAGCTCAGAAAACCAATTTGATCGGCCTAAAACTAAGGAAGGTCGACAAAAGTATCGATTTTTTGAAAACCCGCCCCCTCGAGAAAATCCTGGATCCGCACGTGACTGTTAGCTACTAGTTTATTTGTTTGGTCCTTCAAAAATGCTGTATCCCTAATTGACCCATTTTGTCAGATAATCTGCATATGTGGGTTACTTCTCACAGAAACCTTCTAAGTTTTACTTCTCACAGAACTTTTTGTGGGTTCTTTTTCACAGAACCCTTCTTAATAATAAATCAGCCGTTAGTCTATTGAATACAAATGCGGTTAACAACTCCAAGGCGTAATTTCAAATCCCATCCTGACTCTTGTTTTTAGGAAATGGGCGGTGTTCCGCTAGAACTGACGCAAGTAAATTGAGTTGAAAATGGTTCTCAAACTTGGGAAAAAACCGTTGTACGTTGTGAAAAGTCAATTGACTTCCTCGAAGGTCACGTTTTTTGTCCTTATTACCCAAAACAGCTAACATACCAATAAACTTGTTGATTGTGATAAATTTCTACTTAGAAATTGTTAACGTTGCCAATTTTATTAATAAAAAAGCAATCATAAAAATCAAAAAGCCAATTAAAAAGAATAAATAAAGTCGGGTAAAAATTTCAAATTGGTTCTACCGGAAAATTTTTTTACGCAATCAGAGTTTATGAAAAAACCTAATCGATTCTAGATTTTTAGGGAGACTCACCACAAATCTGGGGAGCGAATGAATATTTATTATTTAAGCTTGGATCGTTTTTCAAAATGTCTCTCGGTACAAGTGACAACAAGGAGGAGTGCTAGCGTAATTCAGGAGTCTCAGGAAAACGACATTGCACTTCATGCTATTCCTCGCCCTTTTGATAAGGACGGACCAAGGGTCAGGATTTGTAGCAAAATCGATTAAAAACTTTTGTACTAAACATTCAGTTGATTTTTGCACCTATGGGAAACTATAGGGCGATGGGTTTATTTGAAAAGTGCATCTGCGTATTGCGCGAATGGTTGATTGCATGTTCATTCCAGAAACCATGACCTTCCTGTAGGGTGCCAGTGACTGAAAAAATGTTTAATATTCGAACAACAACACACAGTGGGTTTGCCGTTTGAGGCTCATTTTGAGCGAAAACTGAAAACAGTGTAGCACACAGTTTTTCGATCCGCTTCAACTAATAAATTATCTTGGAAAAAAATCCATTTGCTTTAGTTGAAACAAGAAGATGTTTTCGGCCAAGATCATGCAAGACTATACTTTACAGGACGATGAATCAACGATGGGATCTTTCGAGAGGATCGATCATCCGCTGTAACCTAAGGCCAACGGAACCCCAGCAACGCTGAGGTTCAGGGGCGGATTTAGGGGGGGGGGCGGGGGGGCGAACGCCCCTTCCTCAGGGATTTGACCCCCTGCCGACCCTTTGATACTTTTTCAGAAATCCATTTTTGGCCGACCGACCCTAAAATTTTTCTAAAGGCGCCTTTGGCGCCAATAAATGCTATTTTTGAGGGGGAGCGCGCGCCAAAAAAACGCATTTTTTTTGTCAAAATTTTTCAAAAAGTGCCCAAAAACGGCTTTTTTTCAAATAAAATTGCCTGCGGCGCAGAAATCAAGGTCAATTTCATCGACCTAAAAAAAAAAAAAAAAGGTCGTCAAAATTTCAATTTTTTTAGGTCAATTTCATCGACCTAAAAAAAAAAAAAAAAAAGGTCGTCAAAATTTTGGAAAATTTTTTGAAAATCCGCCCCCCCCTCGAGAAAATCCTAGATCCGCCCCTGCTGAGGTTGGTTCCGATTTAACCAGTAGCACGCCAATTAGTAAAATTCTAGCCCTGTCCGCTACAATTAGGTAATCAAATTTTTCGGAAAACTCGAAGTCGGTTGAAATTGGAACCGTACTTTGAATTACTTCAAGAAAAATTTTTGCGGTAAACGGATCTTACAATAACGTTAAATTCCGGCACCGTGATACACAAGTGTGATACCTCAAAAAGTTTAGGTACGAGATGCACAATGACAACACCACCGCAAGAAGAGGAATAAAATTAAAACGAGAAAACTAGATTGGATTCGAGGAAAAAAGCCACAAAAAAGGCTACAGAAGAGACGCGTTTTCTTGGCAAGGACCAAGAACACGCAGCGAGCAGTTTCAGGCCCATTCGTAATTGATAGTTCATCAGTATGTCTCATGTCTATAAAAAGCCCGATCACAGGCCAACTGGAAATAGAACGAAGTGGTGATGAAGTAAAACTATAAGAGCTTATGACGGTGTAGTCAAAATGATATCGGTCACTTAAATGTGGAGAAAACCATTTTTTTATATTTCTGCTGCGTGGTTAGAATAAATACAGAAACAAAAGCCGATTGCCAGAGCCCAGTAGTATGTTCGCCAACAAACAGAGCAGAAGAGGAGGAGGAAAATGAGAAGAACGAACACGGCGCGGAGGACGTCGAGATGCACGGACA